CCAGTTTTAACATCCAACAAATGAAATGCAACCAACTCATTTCAATGTGTAATTTGGAAGTAAAATGGAGAGAAGAAATGTGATTTCTGACACTAGTAACCCAAGCACTTTTCGATATGAAATCTAAACAAAAAAAAAAAAGCTCCTGAGCTGGTAGGACAGCTCTATTCCTCACAGGGATCATTTGAAAGCTGCTAAAATAGCAGCTCTGAAAGTTACTCTAAGATCCTAAGCCAGCTTTCCAATTGGCTGCAAATACCATTAAGCTTTAGAACTATTCCTCATAAATATTACAACAGATTTTAACAGCTAATGCCAAAGTTCACAAGTTGATTTTGAAAGTCAGCACTTAGCACTGTTAGTACTGATTTTATAAGCTTACAGGCAGACTTCCTATAAAAACAATACTTAGAGATTATGTCTCTTCCCCTCCATTCCGATTTTCTTTTTAACTTCCAAGGAAAGATGCTATACAGTCATGACCTGGAGAATGAACTTTAAGAAAATAGAGGAAAACTTTTGCTTAAGTCGACCTTCTTTGGAGTCCTGGTGTGGTGTGGTGCTGTACAACAAGCACTGGATTGCTAGCTGTAAGGTTAGTGGTTTAAACCCACCAGCTACTTCTCAGAAATCCCATACGGGCTTGCTATGTGTCTGAACTAACTCGACGGCACTTAACCACCACAATGATCTTCATTAGATACTTGCCAGGGTTAAAACTATGATGCAGCTTAAACTATTAGGCTATCTATATAGAGCCATCAGTTGTTGTCAAGAAGGGAACAATTTGTACAGGTATAACTCATGTAAAGAAATACTTCAGGAAAACGAAAATGTAAGCACAAGAATGTATATTAGATTGCACAGCTGCAGCCTTTCCTTACCCTCAGTATTTCTCGGGAGATGTATGCTATCCAATCTTCTTTGAGTGTGTTCCCTTTGGTGTTCTTCACAAGGTCTGTAATGGACCCAGCCCCGCAGAATTCCATCACAAGCTGCAGGGCAGACAAGACACACACTGTGACTAACACATTGCAGCAGTTGGAGAGAGCATCACAGACTGCAGTACATATCAGAGAAATTATGGAAACATACTCTAACCCACTCTACCTTTCCAAAAGACGGAGGCATGTGAGCACTCTGGAGACATTCAAGGGGATTAGAGTTCATTACACGTAAGTCACTGTGTATACTCGGTCCAGTCGACTGAGATTTTCTCATATTCAATGGCACACGCCCCCTGTGCAGAAGTTCTCAAGTGTGCAGACTCTACTGTAAGCACATGAGCAACAGGGTGAGGTGCTCACTTTGGTCTCATTCTGGATCGACGTCCAAATTACCAGAAATCTGATTCAAATACTCCCTCACGTTCCTTCTCATTCTTCCTCAAAAGTGTTCTACTTTACTCACACTATGATCTTCAATCTATTTTACATTAACTGGGTTTAGTACAAAAGAAAAATGTTATTATTATGTATTATTGACAATATTAAATGTTTATATAATATGATCTACACATTTTTAAAGTTCTGAAAACTACTCGAAACCTTAACTATGACTGGATTTGGAAGATGGAAACAGGTGATTTGTTTGATTTTCTCAATTTAGCAAACTTTCTATAATCCCTTAAGTAAAAACAGAGCATATTAGAAAAAGCACTACTCCTTCCTTCCTACTTGGTAAGTTCAACACTATGAGTGTAACTAATGTGAAACCCGGGCAGTATCTCAGGGCCATCATATTGGATACAAATGTGTTCAATAAGAGATTGAGGTTTTTAGTGCATCCAGTCCAGAAATGTCACTGAAATTTAATAGTTTTAATTAAAATAATCATCATTATTACTAATAGATCACTTCCAAGAGGTATATTTTCTTGAGATTTGTCTCTCACCTTTAGGTGGCAAAGAAAAATGAAAATAATTCAGCTAACCACTTCCCAAGGAGTTTTTATCTATCGATTTTGTGTTTCAAGCTTCCAATTCTCTTGATATTTAGTCACAATCTTTTCAAAATATGCCATTATATTCTTAAAATACCAGTTAGTTCTTTTCTGTGTAATTTGAAACCAGCATCCCAAAACAAAACAAAAAAGCAAATACCTTCAAACAACAGACATACAACTTTTAAAATCAGACGGCCAAGTTTTTCTTTCTGTTTCTCTCCTCCCTCCCTTTGGAAAATACTCCGTACCATTATAATACAGCCCAAGAAGAGACACCTACAAAACATTCAGGAAACATCTGCCTACCCAGAGTTGGTCATCATGTCCTGGAGGGCTCTTCTTAATGAAAGCACCATAATATGTTGCAATATTTCTATGATGTGAATATTTCTTCAGCATATTTATCTCCAGTTTGATTTCTTCCTCTTCATCCTTAAGAATAAACAAAAATAAAACACTTGAAGTGCTTGACTTTTCCCACCCACATGCATTAATGAAAGGAATGTAACTTTCCAGCCCCACTAGAAGCAAAGGTAGTATACAAAGGTAGTATACATTCACTTTTATCTATGTCCCACAAGAATTAGGGACCTTAAGGGGACCCAGTCTTTGAAGTAAGGTGACAGGTGATATATAACAAATAAGTACAAAAGATAACAATGTCTATGGGAAGAAACAGCAGGGGACATGATGTACAGTCCCAGTTCTTCTACTCGGTGACCTCAGGCAATTTACTCCATATTTCACTGGACCTCAATTTGTTCATCTATAAAAGATATGATTGAAACTATTTTAACTAGTTGTTAGGAAAGGCTGCTTTCTTTTCTAGTAAACACTTAACGAATATAAATCACCTGGCACATGTAAAGCTCTATGATATACCCTTCTAACAACCTTTATAACAGCACCCTTCTCCATGGATTTACAAGGGTGGATTACTAAACACAAGCCAGCTATCATCCTCTAGGGGACATGTGCACTCTAAATGAGATGCTGATGAGCAGTGAATTTCGATTTTACACCACCACTCTGTTATAAAAGGTTATATTACAGACTTGGCTTTTCCCTCAGCCTTTTGTTTGATGACAATAGTAAGAGCAGAGGAGGAATCACAAGAGTTTCTAGGAGAAGCTCAGGTGGGGAATGAAGGAAACAGATGGTGACACTAGTCTGGAAACTACAAATAAACAGCCCATGCGAGTGATGTGGACTGAGAGGGCTGCAAGGCCTCTCTCTGCTTTTCTCTCACATACGCCAGCGAAGACACTGGGCCAGCACAGCCACTCTGTTTCCTGCTGTCTTCTACGTGATGGAGCCAGCGAGCTCTGCCACACTATCTGCTAAGAGCTGTCAACAAGGGCTATAGCTCACAGGGAATGAGGGGAAGGCCAGATTACAGCGAGGACGAAGAAAGGAATGGACATGGAGAGAGAAAAATGTGCCTTGGTAAGAAAAGCACAGTGTCTGAGAAATGGCAAAGGAATTCAAGAAAAGCTGAAGACCAGATCTCTACAAATCCCTATACTGTGTTGTTGTTCCGTGCAGTCGAGTCAGTTGTGACTCATAGTGACCATGTATGGGGTCTCCAAGAACAGCTGGTGATTTTGAACCGCCAACCTTGCGGTTAGCAATCCAGCACTTATCCTACAGAGCCACAACAGAACTTAGTATATAATGAAAATTTCCCACAAACTTTTTTGAAGTCCCTTTATAATTTTCAAAAGGAAACGATGACTGGTTCCCTTAAAACTTCCCTATGTTCCGTCTTTCTACACAGCACATGCATTCCACTTTGAGACTGTTGGTCCTCCTCCTCCAGGATTTCTGTCATCCACGGCACATGCGTGTGGGCATGTGGGTATGTGAGATAGAGAGGAGTGCACCAGAAGGTATACACACAGTTGAAGGAAAAGAAGGAACGACGATGCTGACGGGGTAACACAAGGTCAAATACATGCCACAGACAGAGTCTACTATTTCAAACGTTGTTTTGTGAAGTGCCATCAAGTCGGTTCCAACTCACAGCGACCCTGTATCGGGTTTCCAAGGAACAGCTGGTGAGTTAGAACTGTTGACCTTGTGGTTTGCAGTCCAGAGCTGATCCCACATTGCCACACCTGGAGGCTTTAGCATCCCCCAAACCATTCATAAGGCCTCCCTGGTCTCCATTAAAAGGGTATTCAAGCAATCAAATCCTGGGAAGATCTGTACTAAACTACAAAAATAATTGATGGGAAAGCATAATCACCTTTCAAATAAATGTTTTAAAATGAAGTTTATGTGTAATTTAAACATTCCTTCTCTTGCTTCTACCATTTTTAAATAGATGACTCATTGCAAATCTTATGAAATAAAAAAGTATTTAACACAGCTAATTGTCATTTACAGTCTGAGTGCCCACCTTGGAGAAAAAGCATCAGAAATGCAGAATTTGCCAAAGGCTTTGTGCCAGCTACAACTGGAATCTAATTATGACTAATGCTAATAATATACTGTTTCACGTTGTCTTTAAAGAAATGAACCCGCTCCTGAGTTCAAGTCTCCCTTTGGTCATTAACTTGAAACAAGTTTGGTGGTCTCATTCCAATACTTAAACACACACACACACACACACACTGTCACTGCCATCAAAAATAAACACCTCATTTAGCCAGAGAAGATACAGATTTGGGGCAGGCTTGAGTTGAAATTGTAAAACAACAAACTCTGCATATGAAAAGAAAATGGATTTGGCAAACTATGCAGAGGAAGTTTAAATATCCCCTGTGTCTAAGCTGAGTCCAAATTACTTTGCCCTTTTGTTATTGCTGTTGTTAAGTGCCATCAAGTAAGTTCCAATTCACAGAGACCCAGTATAGGGTATCTAAGGTTTAAAAAAAATCTTTGTGGGAGCTTCATATTTCTCCCACAGAGCAGCTGGTGGGTGAGAACTGCTAACCTTGTGGTTCATAGTCCAGTGCTGTTTCTGTGAGCCACTGCGTTTCCTTCCCTTTGCCCTTTACAATTTTCTCCTCTTTAAGAGAGCGGCCATAATCACATACACATTAAAAAAATGTTACGGTCACTTAAAAGAGAGGAAGGAGCCCTGGTAGCACAGAGGTTAAGCGATCAGCAGCTAACTAAAGGAGCACAGCTCGAACCCACGAGCCACTTCACAGGAGAAAGACCGGCAGCAGTCTGATCCCATAAAGATGTACAGCTCTGGAACCCCATAGAGCAGTTCTGCCCTGTCCCACAGAGTCCCTAGAGTCGGAATCCACGTGACAGCAATGGGTTAGGTTTGGTTTAAGACAGGAAAGAAGCTTCTTGGTAAGGAAGAAATGCGCCCTCCTGTTTTTCTCCCATGGTAAGGCAGCTGCTAACCCCCACTTAGTGATTTAATACAGCTGATGCCAATTAGCATTTTGGACTCTAACCAGTGGGAGCAAACTCTCATAGAAAAGGTCTTTGTCTCAGGCTGGGGATCTGACTAGGCGATGAGTTCTCAGTTAGCGGCTGGGGGAAGGGAGAACGTCTGAATAGTGGTAATTTTCAAAAGCAGCTATGGTATCTACATGAGTCATATGACAAGCCCAGTGCACCCTACCATCTGAACACACAGGAGCCCATATTATCATTTTGTTTTTGTTTTTAAGGTTCCCTTTAAAACACTGTTAGGCAATCTGGTTCCCTAAATTCTCCCTCAGTCCATGAATGGTAGTACTTATATGGGAAAGTGAGAGACAGGTTAAGTTTCGATCAGCGAATTGGGATCCAAGATAGGAAAGTTTTCTGAGATAATTCTTTTTCTTCCAGCCAGTATACCCTCTTTACACAATGAAATGCCTACTCAGTAACAGTACAACAATAGAGGAAGGACAGTTGATTTTTCATTTGTCTTTGTTATCTGGAAGGGGAACTGATAAAATAAGAGGAGCAAGTAACTCTGGCAGATTTCAGCCCTAAAATGAATAAAGGAATGTACACCTAGATGCTTTGAATGAAAAGTATCTTTTTAAAACCTGTTTACACATTAGTTTGTTTTCAGCCAACTACGAATGGACCTTTCTTTCTGTGACTGTGAACTGGGAAAAATAAGAACAGATTCTCTTACCTGGCAAATCCCAGTTACATCTGAGAGGATTACTCAGAATCACATCAAGTTGAAAGCAGCAGAGACTAAATCACATTTCACTGTTCTTGGACTCAGGCAAATGACAAAGTTGTATGATTTAAATCAGTATTTTATTAAATGTAGGTGAGCAAACCTATATAGGCAGAGCAAGAGTAAGGGTGTGGGATCTGGTCAAAAGGAAGGAATAGCTTCTTTATCAAATCAGTCCATTCTGTTTCCCCAAAGATCCATCAGTCAGTCCCAAAATACAAGACCAATAAGCAACTTTAGAAACTAGCATTAAAAAAAAAAAAAAAAGTAAAATGGAAACCAAAGACTCGGGACAGCTTGCTCAGAAATACGGTTTAGAATGCTTTCCTACAAAAAGACACTGTTATCTCTACTTCTACTCAATCAATTAACTTCTGGGATTCCAAAGTCAAAGTGCAATGGCCCTTCAGTCCTTAACCCTCTTATCTAAAGATACCACAGAGAACTTTTACTAGACAAAGTCCTCAGAGAGCCTTCTAACTTTTCCATCCTCCATAAAGTTTGCCAGGCCACAAAGATTGCTGAATATGTCAAAGATTATTATATCACATCTCCTCCCATCCGCAACACACACACACAAGTACCTAAAGATATTGTGATAAAAAATGGAATTACGTAACACCATTCACGTGTGTGTGTGTGTGTGTGTGTGACTGTAACTAAATGGTGTAGGATAGCAAACAAGATCAATCCAGTTTCCCTCAGCATCATCCTTTCATAAGTAACCTTGGGAATCTGATGTTTCCATGAATGACACCAAGGACCACAAGAAGACCACAATACAGCTTTGTGGCAGCCCCTGCCCTCCATACTACCATTTAAGAACAACATGACAAAAAACGAAGGTGGTGGGGATCTGAAGCAATAGAGTCAACTAAGACAAATCACTACTTTCTCTAGGGTCTAAATTAAACTATTAGAACTTTTCCAAGATCCACATCATCAAAACCTAAAAATCAGATGCCATGCCAAGCACCACCTACAGGACACACGTTGTTGTGTAGTGCCGTCGAGTCGATTCCGACCCATAGTGACGCTGTTTGGTTGGGTTTCCAAGGAGCGGGTGGTGAGCTTAAACCACCAACCTTGCAGTTCAAACGGCTTTGCAGTCTGGTGCATTAACCCACAGTGCCACACCAGGACTCCTTGGTACCATGGGTACAGAACCTTCAATACTGACTAGAATGTGAAAACGTTCGTGTTATTACTTAATTTTAGAATCCACCCATTTTCTCCATACACAGAGATACACATACAGTTGGAGTCAGTACCTCCTGTTGTTGTTGTT